TCTGCTTGCTCTTCTATGTTAAACCTCCGTTCTTGAATAGTTAGGGGAAAACAACATCTACACACTCAGCCAAAGTTACACTTACATTGTCTTAGAGTAGTTTTGTTGCCTTTCCCAAAATTAATTTCTGGGTCTCGTAGCTCCACTAACCCAAGAACATCATCTCTCACTGTTGTGGTCACCAAGTGTTCTAGACCTTTCATTTCCATTTTGCTGTGAAGAGAAAATCTGTTGATCTCTTCATAGCTTTATCTTGTTTTACTGAGTCAAGTAACTGAGGAGAGACCTGATATCTAAGGCAGCAAATAGTTGAGGGGGTAGACCTGTTCTATTTTTCTGTGAGCAAGAAGTTATTTTCTGTTCCTTGTTTTAATGTTAATGGATTTAAAGACTGCTGATGCATTCCAGTCCATCACTGGTAAGGTGCCAGTTCAACCTTCCCTTAGTGCAAGTATCCACCAGGGATCAAAATGCCTCGTTTTTTGACAAGCATGTGTGGGAGTCAAAGCAGCATGAAAATCTTTTTCTTAGGGGAAATTCCTACCCTGTTCAGGCACAGGAAGACCAACTTTTTTAGGACAAGAGAATTATATCCCATTGCACTGCCAATAGTGAACTGAACTGTTCTTTCTGGTTTAGATAGCTTTAGTCCTAGGTGTTTTGTCCACACTGAAAATGAACCACATTCCATGTGGTACAACAGGAGTCAGATGTGATTGGTATTTCAGAGGTGAATGAACTGGGAGAGGGGGACCATGCCCCACTCAAGACATCCATCCATGAGGTACAATTACAAGAGAAGACAATCGTATAGGAGACAATTCTACAGATTTGTGCCAATAGAACACTTTTCTCTTTAGCAATGGCATTTTTATTTAATCAGTTTCTGCCAGATTCTGTCTGCTTCAAGCTTTTTCAGCTTCACCAAAGGGTCTGTTTCTGAAGCACACTGTCTGGTCCAATTTTACTTTTTTGTTATTTTTTTCCTGCCATACAATGTTGTGCTTAAAAGGAAGAAAAAGACACAAAGAGAAGATAGAAAAATAGAAATGAGAAATGTCTCATGGGAGATGCTTGCCCTTACCATGTCATGCTAGTTTAAATACAGTTCCCACACTTCACGTGTCAAGCTGTACTTGATTGTTTTCAAATAGATGGCAAAAATCATGAAAGGAGGAAAATGTTCTTTTGCGTGACAGATTCTTCTTTTGATATATTGGGTTCTGTAGCTGTCAAAACAAAGGCTGTTTTTCCATCTATTATTACAAATGCATTTGGGGTGAATCTCTTCTGCAACTCTCTATTCCCTTGATTGTTTACTTCAATACTGTTTTATTGTTTCAATTTTTCGAAATCTAACGAAATGATGAATTTTCAGTGGTGCATTTTTCTCTCTGATCCTCAGTAGGCAATGAGGTTCTTTCTCAGTGGAGATTTAGATCACATCTTGAAATGCAGTCTGTTTCAAGTATATTCTGCTTTTCTGGCAGGAGGATGGAATATTTAATTTCATTATTCAACATAGGTTTATTCATTTTATGCAACGAAGGGAAATTTATCAATAGCGTCTTCAACATCCAGAAGAATGATACTTACCATGACTGTTTCACATACTCTATTTATATTTTATATCTTTTTCATCACTCAGCAATTATTCATCTCTCTGCTGAGAGGTGAAATTCTCTTATTGAGTTACTATAATTTCTCTGAACTCCAGAAAGCAATTCAATCACTGAAAGCAATTGCTTTTACTTAAAGATGTTTCTTGAGACAGATTCACCAAACACAAATAACTGAATAAAGGTTATTTTTTACTGTTGATTTTCAAGAGTATTTAGTGATGCTTTATAAAAGAGGCAAATCAATGTTTCTACGTCTTAACATTCATTGCACTAATATTAATCATGACGGATTCTTGGAGATGGATGCAAATGTGATAGTATAAGTAAGTAGGAAAGCAGTTAAAATGCAACATTAATCCATTCCCAGTTGTTATTAAATGTCATAAGATATTAATAGGTTTGCTGATATTTTCCTTTTTAAACCACATGGTGTAAAAAAAAAATAGCACAACAGTGTGATGTATGCAAAGTCATCAAGGTAATTATTGCTGAATCTTTTGTATTATTTCAGTGTAGTGTCCCAGACCTGCAATTTTGGGAAAGATCAAAATATAGAGTGTGGTCTCTTCCAACCTAACTGATTCTGTGATTCTGTGAAGGTGGTGATAGACTGTACCCCATTCCCACAGAAATCAATCAAAGGTCTTCCATTTGGGAAGTGGGCACAGTGGGAACAGAAACAGGCTTAGTACCGCACTATATGATTTCTCTTGCCATCAATAAAACAGATTTTCTCATTTATCTTGTCCTCTGAGATGTTTAAATTTCGAACGTCAGCTGATTCAAATTTTATGTTTGGGGAATCCAGGCACTGAGATGATTTGTGTTTAGGGCACTGAACTGGGACTCAGTAGATCTGGGTTTGTTCTGTCATGCATTTCCCATGTGATCTTATGCAAATCCTTTATTGCTTCTCGCACAGCCTCATCAGTAAAATAGGGTAATGTTACTCTTCTTGTTGGAAGGATTTGTTAACATTTGGATGGCATATCTACAACAGATTGCTGAGGGCCATATGAAAATGCACAATCCTATTTAAATGTACTGCTTTACATATAGATCCTTCTTTCATTATATGTTTCTGTATCTACTGCTTTCTTACAGCCTCCTCATGGGACTCTTTCTTTCATTCTTTTCTTTATAAGCAATCTTCCACAGGCTGCCCTTCTCCTCCCAATACATGGCAATCAGGTCCTGGGTTTTCAGCTCACCAAGGCAGGTAGTAGGTACAAATGGAGATATAAATGTTGGAGAGGCACCATGTGAGCAATGCTTCATGTGGATAATCTTTGGTGATCCAACTGTTAAGGTCGTGCTTGAGAAACTAGATCTTTGATGTATTTTTATTCCAGATATGTTCACTTAAATAATTCAGATGTACAATTCTCAGTCACAGAATTTCATATTGATTTCAGTAGTGAGCATCATTTGCATAAAAACCTAGGAATACCATTTCAGATACTTCTTTTGTAAGTAGTCAAATACCAAACCTAATACTGTGCACAATCTTTTTTTGAAAGGAAATTGTATTAGTATATATTCACCCAAAACTATTTGCATGAATGCTTCTGTGTTTGCCACTTTGTAAAAAATAAAAGTGCATTTATTTTTTTGAGGCCTTTAACTTAAGATACATGTATTTTTTTAGCTTATTGCCTGTTCATGAATGCCAGTGAGCCTTTACTGGAGTGAGCAGATCTGAGCTGTGCATTGTTCCCTATCAATCAGCAATATCTGGGATAGAGCAGTGATTGCAATAACAAATTCAGGAGATATAGCTACCTGCTCTCTATTACTTTCAATGAAGGTGAGAATTCTGTACCCCTGGAATATGGTTTCTTTGATGTCTTTGCACAGCATGGACAGTTGTTGACCTGCTAATGGCATCTGCTGTAGAACCATGCTGACTTTGAGTTTGACATTGCTCCCTGAGTTTGGTAGAAGGTGTGGAGATTTACAAATGCACTACTGCCAAACAAATGAGTCTATCTGAAAGCATTGCATGTGGTTACATTGACACGCTTCCTTCAGGGTGGCAGTAAGAGTTGTGGTTTACTGCACACAACTGCATTTTCCTTAATGAAACTTCCATTCAGACATTGTAGATATAAAGCCAGCCAATATGGAGGACCTGACAGAAGTGATTACAGCCTCTGAGTTTCATCCCCATCACTGCAATCTCTTTGTCTACAGCAGCAGCAAAGGATCCCTGCGACTCTGCGACATGAGGGCATCGGCTCTCTGCGACAAACATTCCAAGCGTAAGTCCTTGCTTCACTGAGCCTCAGATGTCATTAAACTCTTATTATTCCCAGGGAGCATGTGGATGTGTGCATACCCCAGTGTATCAGTTTCTCATTTGCAGGCACACTGGAATAGAAAACCGCAAAAGGAAGAAAGTTTATCTGTGCAAGTATTAGCTATGAACTTGATAACTCGTGTCTGTGACTGGTTGCCCTTAAGGTTCTTATTGCAGGGATCAGTGAAGACCCAGAATGTTCTGGGAAAGCCCAAAAGGGCAAAAGAGAGAGGATTCCTAACAAATTAAAGAGAGTGGGGAAGTATTTAAGTAGAGGAGCATATTGTTTTGAATACACAACTTCTGTTCTGAATGCTGCAGCAAGTAAATTTTGATTATCAATCTGCCTTCAAAATTTGGAATCCGTTTTCAGGATCAAGAAATGTCAGTGTCCTTCCTAAAAATTTACTCCAGCATTCCCTATGTGTATTTTTTCACTAACTCTGCTTCAGCCCAAACTGGCACACACACCTGAACAGACTCAAAGGAAATAAAGTAAGTAATTGAGCAAGGAGAGTGGGGAAGAAAAAAAAAAAGATATTGTGTTGGTATAGAAGGTGTCATCTCTCCTAAGTGATTTTATGTAGCCTGTGGAATTATGAGATGAACCACCAATTCATGACAGTTCATATCTGAAACCTACATAAGAACAAAGAAGCAAAATTTTAAAATGTGTGGCTGTCTTTGTTCTCAAAGTAAAGGTTGAGGGAAAAATGCATGTTATTATGTCTTACTGTCAGCTTTTTATGGTCTAGAGAAGACAGAGTATGGTTTTTCCCACCAGTAACCTGGCAAGCCTGGGCACTTTGAACACCCTGTTTATTCCTGGTCTTCTGGGACGGATAGCATCCAAAGGCACTGTGTCATGTGGCTGGTTCCTATGAGGAGCTGAGAACCTAATGGATGAACTGTGGTGGCTCTGCTTTAGGCATCTTCAGGGCTGGTGCTTCTAGGATACCTCTGTCTCACAGAATTGGGTCATCAGTTTCTTTGGCAATGTTGAAAGACTGGAAGGAAATTCAGGAGAAATTCTCTTAGTGCCTGAGCATATAAGTAGTTTTATGTCATTCAGTCCCTATGTGAACCTTTTTGATGTAGGCAGATCTTACTATTAGGGGCAGAAGGGGAGGAAAAGGCATATGAAGATATAAATGAGACATAAGTGCTGCACAGGTTTAGTACATAAGCTATTTATTTTAAACTGAAGTAAATGTAGTAAAGAGCCTGTGACTACGCCTTTTGACTACAAAGAGAAGAGCACATGCTCAGAACCTCTTAGGATGTGGTCTGCAATTGTAGAAAATAACCTTCAAGGACAATTTCCTAAGCAGGGAAGTGTTTTACCTTTGTTAGCTATATCTCCTTGTACTTGTAGGGGGAATTCAATACCATGAAGTGAAATGCAAGCATGACACAGTCTGACACATTGCTGTGAATTATCCTGTCCCACTTAATTGTTTTGTTCTGTAATACTTTCATGGAGGCTAATAAGGCCTCCATGCCCCTGTAACTCAGTGCCAAATGCCAATCAGAACTTAAAGCCACAATAGAGTAACCCTGGATGAAAGAATGTGTTTTATGCCAGAAGGGAGTGCAAGGTCTAATGGTCATTGATTAAACCCCATTTTCCAGATCTGTGAGTTAGAAAATAGCCATTTAATGTAGCATTGTTGCACTGAACTCAAGTCAAGCTCATTGAGAAGCTGAGTGTCTACAATACAAAATTGATACAACAATGGTGGAACTTCCAAAGTGTTAAAAGGAGTAGGCCCATGTACTGCTGCTTGGAGTGGTTTGAGCATAGCTCTGAGAGACAAGCAAAACTAATTATATAAAACCCATAGGTGCCTGACAGGGTATATAATAAAACCCAATCAGTCTATGAAATCAACTTATTTGCACAATTCTCTCTCTAGTACCTTCACTGTGCATCTAACTTCTCTTTACTGTTGCTAAATTTGCACATGCTGCATATGCATGATCAGTACTCTGCTTTCCTAGCTCAGTTTGTCTTTCAGTCTTTCCCCATAATTGACTTCACTTCTCAACCAAAACACTACAACTGGAGTCACTGTAAACCCTCATGTTCTGCCATGCATCCCTACTTTCTCATGTCAGTCTAGTATCGCTATGTGCTGCGTTTCAGATGCTGTTCTGAGATTGTAATGGTTGTACATATTTTTGGGGGATAAAAGATCCAATGTAAAACTTATCAAACACCTGGATGCTGAGCATGTTGTGAACTTTTGGGTTTACTCCTTTTTCTCTTTTTTATACAAATCTCCATAGCTGTGGTAGTCCATTGCAGCTCCTGTGGGAAGGGCCCTTCAATTTATACAAGTCCAGAGAGTGCCATGAATTATTACTGTGCCATACTGTAAAAATAAATTACATACTAATATCTGTAGTGTAAGTCAACTGACATGGGGTGTTAATAAATTATACTATCTAGAAGAGTTCTGTTTTGCTAAACTCAGTGGCAAAAATCTTTCTTTTTTTGGCATTAGTGACAGCAATGCTACATAATTTCCCTTATAAATCCTCATGGCTTTGACATGGATGAGGCAAGACTTCTTCCATCTCATCCTTGATGCCTATGCTGAGATTTGTTAGCAAGCTGCCAGTTTATATAATGAAGTGTAATGGGGATTTCTGTCCCTTAGAAAAATTGTGTCAGATCACCAAATCTATTCATAAGGCTTTGAAAGAATATCAGGTCAGTAGCTGAATTTTAAATGGTCATTGAGATACTGATAAGCTGTGAAAAAATGTGTTGTGTTTTTAATAGACTACCTGAAACTGCTTCTTATAACACTTCTGTAATAGATCGTACAATGCTGAGTGAGCAATCTAAAGGAAATCTTATGTGGCCATTACAAATGTATATCAGGAATCTGTAACCATAGGGGAGGTATATACATAATGCTGTTCTGTGTTATTATCAGACTTTGCAAGTGGTGGGAAAAGATGTCATCAAAAATGCTCTGGAGAGGACATGGCAAAAGAGGTGAATGTCCCTGCTTATTTAGAGTATTAGAGGGGTGGGAAGAAGGAAGGTGTTCTTGCAGTCCACAGTGTTATAGGTATTGTGATTTAACCTCAGACAGCAACCAAGAACCACACAGCCTCTCACACACTCCCCCACCAATGGGGGAATCAGAAGGGTAAAAGCTAGAAAAACTCATTGGCTGATATAAAGACAGTTTAATAGAGAAAGCAAAAGCTGCACACACAAGCAAAGCAAAATAAGGGATTAATTCACTGCTTCCCATGGGCAGGAGATGTTCAGCATCTCCAGGAGAGCAGGGCCCCATCATGCATAACAGTTTCTTGGGAAGACAAACACCATCACTCCAGATGTCCCCCCTTCCTCCTTCTTTCTCCCACCTTATATACTGAGCATGATGTCATATGGTATGGAATATCCCTTTGGTCAGTTTGGGTCACCTGTCCCAGCTGTGTCTCCTCCCAGTCTCCCATGCATCCCCAACTTCCTTGCCAGAATGGCAGTATGGAAAGCAGCAAAGACCTTGGCTCTGTGTGAGCTCTGCTCAGGCAGACAAACACATTTGTATTTTATTAGCTCTGTGTTCTGCACAAATCCTAATCATAGTCCCATACTAGCCACGGTGAAGTTAAGTCTACTTTAGCCCAAACCAGCCCATAGGTAAAGATTTAAAGCAGAGATGAAAGTCAGACTCAAGCAGTGAGAAACAGGAAACAAATTTAATTAATATGGAAGCTTTCACCTAAATAGTGTACTTGGCAAAACATCCAAAGATCACCTTTGAGGTGGTATAGAAAAAAGGCAGTATATGGAAATCTGTGACAGAAGCAAAAGTATCATGGTTCGAGCAGTCAGCTAGGAACATTGAAGAAATAAAAGAATTACCCCCCACCTCAGATTCCATAAATTCTTATGCAGAGGATGCAGGTGACAAGAAAGACAAGAATAGGGATACTCTTGCTGTAAGAGCATTCTGACCAAAAATGTACTTAATACAGTATAACATGCAACTGTTAAATTAACAAATAGTTCCTAATTTGGTTTTGATTTTTTTCTTACTAATATTATGTTCAGAGCTCCTTATAAATGTGCACTGAGTTAATATCATCCTTCCAAACAGCTAGATGGGTATATATGGCTGTTCCAACAAATGAAATAATAAAGCAGTCAGCTGAAGAAAACTGAGCTTGAGCATGTGAAGTCAGAAAAATATGAACTTTTTCAGTAGTTCAGCAGAATTATTAAAGCAATTATTAAGTGGTAAATAGAAGCTATGTAGTTATGCAGCATGGAAATTTAAGTCACTCAAGAGTATAACTCGTATTGATATTCCATTCCTTAATATCTGAAAGTCATTGCAGACTTCAGAAGTTGTAATCTATTTAAATGCTGTGTGTTGCTTTAAGGGTTGTTTAGTATTCATTTTTTAATATGTATTTGTAGACTAAACCCCTATTTCTAATTATCCATTACCCATGTGCAAAATTTACAGCAAAATACTTCAAGGAAAGAGCAGCTGCAGTTTCAGGTTTATTCCTCTGTGTGCTGTGGTGATGTTTAAAACACAAACTTTGGAGTTTTATAGCACAGTTGGCCATTGTCACCGTTAGTTCATGTTTTCTGTCCTCCACACAGACTTCACAAGCTCCTGACATCTGGGTCTGTAACAGGAGCCATTTAGAGCCTCCCTCCCTTTGACTGAAGGAGTATTTATAGGTGACAGGCAATCCTAGCAGCCATCTCTGTCCTCTCCTTGAAAGGAACAAAGCATCTCAGCTGGTACCTTCCCACTTCCATGGCTTGGATAATCAGTATTTTCAACATATAAAATGGTCTTCAGAGAAATGCAGAGTGAATTTAGGTTTGATCTGTGACTCAGAGATGCTGCCCAAAGATGGTGGTGGTGCTTTATTTTTCATGGAGAGTCCTTTTCCACATTTTTATTTGAAATTCAG